TATATATATATATATATATATATATATATATATATATATATATACACACATACATACATACATACAGTGGATATCAAAATGAGATAATCTATAAATACTTTTAAGTTTTTCTAAAAAATACTTAAATTAGATATTTAAAAAAGAAACACTGATCAAAATTAGAGAACAATTACAGATACCTCTGCTAAGTTCCTTAATTATGTGATAATTTAACTGGCAGCATTCCTCTAATTTTCACTGAGTTTGCAATATGGTGGGCCACTAAGGTAACTGAGACCCTGGGACAGGAGGCGGTCCAGATGAAAGCCAAAGGGATGATGCTTTCAGTCACTGCACGACAAGCTGGTCATTCCAAATCTAGAATAGATTTCTAGAATATTGCCGTGTGTGTGTGTATATATATATATATATATATATATAAAACAATAGAGGATTTAACATCAAAATTTTGCATATAATGTAAAAATGTATGTTTATAATGTAACCTTCTCCCTTTAAATACTTTGACAGTTCAAGAATAATTTATGAAATTGAATATTATTTATTTGAAAGAATTAAAAGAGAAGTTTCATGTTTATCATTGTATTGTTCAACTGGTCAAGGTTGAAATGGGAATTAGAAAGTAATTAGTAATAATAAGTAATGCAATACATTTTAGAGAGAGTAATTAGTACAGCAATCTAATTACATTATTGTACACATTATTTACATTACTTCTGGATTATTGTAATGTTTTTATCAGCTGTTTGGTCTCTCATGCACGACAAGCTGGTCATTCCAAATCTAGAATAGATTTCTAGAATATTGCCGCTTTACAATGACACTAATTCATTCAAGTCCCCCAAAAAGGCTGGTCATCCACGTAAGACAAATACACGAGAAGACAAGATAATGCAGAGACTCTCAATGGGGAATTGGTTCAACACTGCAGCTGGAATTGCTCGCCAGTTCAGCAATGAACAGGGTAAGGATCTGTCTCGGCACATTTAGGAGAAGTGAGACTGAAAGCACACTCTGCAGTGACCAAGTGACCTCTCATCAACAGAAAGAATCAAAAGGATAGGCTCACCTTTGCTGAGGAGCATGTTGTGTGGAGAGAGTGTGTGTGTGTGTGTGTATATATATATATATATATATATATAAAACAATAGAGGATTTAACATCAAAATTTTGCATATAATGTAAAAATGTATGTTTATAATGTAACCTTCTCCCTTTAAATACTTTGACAGTTCAAGAATAATTTATGAAATTGAATATTATTTATTTGAAAGAATTAAAAGAGAAGTTTCATGTTTATCCTGGAATTGCTCGCCAGTTCAGCAATGAACAGGGTAAGGATCTGTCTCGGCACATTTAGGAGAAGTGAGACTGAAAGCACACTCTGCAGTGACCAAGTGACCTCTCATCAACAGAAAGAATCAAAAGGATAGGCTCACCTTTGCTGAGGAGCATGTTGTGTGGAGAGAGAAGAACTGGTCCAAAGTTCACTTTAGTGATGAGAGCAAGTTTAATTGGTTTGGGTCCGATGGGAATTCAATGAAAGGTGGAGGAGGAAGTATTATGGTTTGGGGGATGTTTTCTGCAGCAGGAGTTGGGCCTCTTATACAGATACATGGCAAAGTGAATGCAAATGTTTATCAGAACCTCCTTCAGCAACATGCGGTACTACCATCCCTGCAAGCATCTCCCAATCAGCCGGCAATTTTCATGCAAAACAATGCAAAATGGGTAAAGCAGTTCCTTGAAGCTAAGAACATTGAAATGAAATAATGAAATGGCCAGCCCAGAGATCTAAACCCAACTGAAAATCTCTGGAAGATCCTTGGCAACAAAGTATTGCTAAGAAACCCACTACAGTCACCAAACTATGGAAGAGACATGGAAGAAGAGTGGACCAAGATCACAGAAACTAGTGATGTCCTGCGGCCGCAGATGTGCTGAAGTCATTCAAAGCAAGGGCCTCTACAGTTCTAGACAGCTGTAACCCTCCAAAGTTTAGTTGTAATCTTCTTTCATGCTACAGTGGTTAATGTTCTCTAATTTTGATCGCTGTGTTTTCCACAAAATAAAGTGTTTTGTTGAAATGCCTTGGTTATTTTGTCAAACATGTTAGTATAACCTACAGCTAATATTCCTTAAAATTTTGAGTTATGAATATTAACAATATTTAGAAAAAGTCAAGAATCTCCACATGTGTGTGTGTGTGTGTGTGTGTGTGTGTATATATATATATATATATATATATATGAAGAGAGGTGTTGAAAACAGTGGACATTTTAAACAAAATGGTTCACTGAAACAGTGTAATCTAGATTATGTCAACTAAACTAAAGTCATGTCAAGAGAAACTGCATGAACTGGGATGGCTCTCTTTGCCAGTCATAATGCATGCGTCTGTTTGACAGAGAAATAAAGGTTTGTCAGGAGAGTTTCCATTGAATAAAGCCCTTTGAAAGCAGATGAAAGCAGAGAAAAATGGGGAAATACTGAGAATGGAGAAAAAAAAAACGCTGCAGAGTGAATTGCACAGTGCTTATTTAATTATAGATCAATGGAATCTTTGCATAAATAAACCAGCCACAGTTCATGATCATATGGCACATGGTTCGTAGAGGTAAAGTAAACATGAGCATGCTGGCCATAATCACGTGCTCATTGTTATTCTCAAGATAACAGACTTATACATTTAGAAAACATACATTTAAAACAAACAATGATGTCAGCGTACTGTATGTGGATTGTTATATCCTTAACGACAGGTCAATAAAAGCGTAGTTTTAAAAATAACAACCATACGACATAAAGAATATGAAGAAGAAGTGATTGGCAGAACGAAGCAATGCATGAAATGAAAATACACATATGAATTCATATGCAATGCCAATTCGAGTTTAACTGATATCATCCTTGTCTTTATGGAGTGATCATGTCGAGTATGCATGGATGTTTGGATGAAAAGCTTTCATAGAGAACAGGGGTGACAGACTCACCACAGTGACCGGAGAAACCATCTTTGTCTGCGGGTGAACAGCCAGAGGACGGATGAACGGATCAGTCGTCGCTAACAGAGCACACGAAATGTGTTTTTGTCTTGTGTTTGGGACAGGCCATCATCAGTGGGAGGAGAGAGTGGGCGGAGTCTGCGGGTGAAAACAAGCCCTGTCCAATCGGAATGCGGGGAGGTGTTGACATTACGGCGCGCCTCAGCCAATGTGGCCGTGTGGGAGGAACATTTACATACAGCACACTCGGTGCCCGTTTAGTCCTTGCGTCGCGTTATTAATACGTTTTATCGTCAACATCTATGTCTGATATATAATGCGAGTTCGATATAAATTCTAAATGTTAATAAAATGGTGTGTAGATGCGTAAACACATAGCTGAGCTGTTTCTTGAATATGTATCGACACCTTGTGGCAGCATTTAGTAATCAATATTGCGTCACTACTCACTATTTTCCTAAAAGTCGGTAAAATTACCTTAAAGTACAAAGTGATGTCTTGGTATTGCAAGCTTTGTCTATAATAAATATTTATAATGCAGAAGGTTAATACGTGTGATTACAGAGGGGGTAATCTTGTACTTGTGCTGGCCAGAATTGATCTATATGTTTTATGTTTTACCTATTATTTAGTCAAATCCATTATTTATTTATTTGAATCGGGGTTATTATAGTTAACTAAAACTGAAACTAAAACCATTAAAAATTCGTCACTTGAAACCAAATAAACGTTAGCTGAAATAAAATAAAATACAAAAACTGTTTTATTGTTATTGTTTCAGCTAGATGCAGAGGCAATAGTTCTCATTTTAATTCAGTTTAACTTGTGTACTAAAATAACTAAGGCTAAACGTGAATAAAAATGTGTGTGTATAAAATTTGTATATAACACACATACACACACACACTCTCTCTCACACACACACACACACACACACACT